ACATCTGCTGCAACATGGCTGAGTCTTGAAAACATATGCTAAGTGAAAACATTTGCTAAGTAGCAAAGGGACAATCACTGTATGATTCCTCCTATACGAGGTTTCTAGAGTATTCAAAATCATAGAGACAGAAAGTTGAATGGTGACTGCCAAGGGGCAGAAACAGTGGGGGGGTGGGGGGTGAAAAGGAAGTCAGTTTTTAATGGGGACACGGCTTCAGTTTGGGAAAATGAGAACATTCTGGAGATGGGTGGTGGTGATGGTTGCCCAACAAGACAAATGAACTTAATGTGTATCATTAAGTGCACATCTGCAGAACTGGTCAAATGATAAATTTTATGCTATGTATATTTTACCACAACTAAAAGACAACTTGGCTGGGTGCCAGCGGTTCACACCTGTAATCCTAGCTACTCAGAAGGCAGAGATCAGGAGGATCAAGGTTCAAAGCCAGCCAGAGCAAATAGTTCCATGAGACCCTATCTCAAAAACCCTTCACAAAAATAGGGCTGGTGGAGTGGCTCAAGGTGAAGGTGCTGAGTTCAAACCCCAACAGGCTCTGCTTAATGTTAGTTACCAATCCAACCCCCTCTGGTTCCCTGTCAGCTAAAGGCAGGTTTGCGCTCTTAGATATTTGAGTCTCTCTCCAGTAACATTTCCAATGAGTCCCAGTAGCTTTCTGTTCACATGCTAAGGAAGACTGGGAGCATGAATGTCTTTATCAAGAGGATCCTGAAATTATGAAAACTTGGATCATAAAATTACACCAAAGTTTTTGACTTCCAGATACCACTCCTAGTCCTTCGAGGCTCTCCTTCCTTATCTCTCCTACCCCTCATCACTTCTAGCCTTTGGAGCTAGCAAAACTCAAAGCAATCAGTGTGAGATTTGCCTGCCCTTACGCAGCATTGGCATTGGGTAGAACTCTGGCCCTTACCCTACTTGCCACGCCATGTAACCGTACTGTTTCCAACTGTCTCAGCAACCACAGGCAAAACTAATTATTACACAAACCCCTGATCAAAAAACCACACATTCGGCTGGCAGGTCTTTTCGGAAGAAAAACATTCCTGTTTCAGCAGTGACCTAACCTTTCGTTCACCTACGCTGCTATAAACAAACACAGGCCTGTTGGGAAACCAGAGTTTCGACTGTATTTTTAAAGCAGTCTATCTTTTCAGCCAAAAAAAGAAACTGCGGTGCAAACACAGACACAATAACAAGACAAAAAACACTGACACACATTTATCAGGGGGTGCCAAACCCAACCCTGAGTGCTCTGATATTAATACCAGGAATGGTGTCTTTCTAGCTCACACTGCTATGGGAAGAGCTCAGACTTCCACGCTACTCCAGAGTCAGAGATTAAGAAGATCAGCCAGGCAAAAAGATATCAAGACCCCCACCTCAACCAACCCAGCTATGCTGAACGCATAGGATTGCAGTCCAGGCTGGCCTGGGGAAAAAAATGCAAGACCCTATTCTCAAACTAAACTCTATAACTAAAAAAAGAGCTGGGGGTGTGGTTCAAATTGTAGACCACCTGCCACACAAGCATGAAGCTCTGAGTTCAAGTCCCAGTTTAAAAAAAAAAAAAGCCTTGGGTGCAGGCAGGGTTTACGTTACTGCTTCTACATCCTTACAGAAATTGTTTCTGGAGCCCAATTTAGGGAAAGAGAGAGGAAGCAAAGGATTGTGACCTTCATTTCTCATTTGTTCTACAGGAGTTCTGATTTGCAAAAGCTGGATTCCCCACACTAGATGCTGGCACTCGCAAGCAACTCCTCAAAATAGAAATGAAAAGTCCTTTCTGTCTTCTTCCATTTCACCACCAAGCCCTGACTCCCCTGGTCTAATCTTCTTCAGTCCTGTCACCACAAGCCAGGGGTGTGGATGGGTGGTGGAGGTTCAAGGGTGGTTACCTCTCAAATTATGTGGGGGCTAGGTATCATTGGAATGGATTGTACTTCATCCTCCTGGTTAAGGTGCTACTCTGCAGTATAGGCCAGTTTCCCTGCTTGTGGCTCTGACAGAGAAAACCGACCTGCTAAGGTGGCAGGTGAAAGAAGACTGCAGGGTGTGTATGCATTTTATTTGAACATGCTGTCTCCTATTCTAGGGTTAACAACAGTGTACAATCTAGAATGTTCTAACATTTACAGTACCTTTCAAACTTTATTACATTCTTATTTGACTTTTTAGATAATAAATCTTACCTGTACCATCACATCAATCTTTTTTTTTTTTTTTGATGGTACTGGGGTTTGAACTCAGGGACTTGTGCTTGCTGGGCTGGTGCTCTACAACATGAGTCGCACCCCAACCCTAAAATTTTCTTAAACTATCTTTTTTTTTTTTTTTTTTTTTTTTGCTTGTTTTGTTTTATGTTGAGACAAGGTCTTGCTATATACCTTAAACCTGAGATCCTCCTATGTTAATCTTAAGTGTTGGGATTCCAGGTGTGCACAGCCACACCCAGCATTAAACTACGTCTTTAGAATACTCAGATCAGATCTGCTTTCACAAAGAGTACCAGACGCTACAGTGATATTTCTTCTTTCAGTGGCTCTGAACTTTCTTCTGCCCCCTCATTGTCCTTATACCCAACACATTTCCATTAATGACATTTCTAATGACACTACAAGGGTTCCCCCAAAAAAGGAAGAGGCTCACCATGCTCTTGTCTGAAAGCCAATGAAATAATGTATGCCCCCAAACACAGAGACCACAGTAAATAGTAATATAAAAAATCAGCCAGGCCAAGTACTAGTGGCTCAGGCCTATAATTCTACTGACTCAGGAGGCAGAGATCAGGAGGACCACATTTTGAAGCCAGCCAGGGCATACAGTAGTTCAAGAGACCCTATCTCGAAAAACTCAATCACAAAAAAAAAGCCAGTGGAATGGCTCAAGGTGAAGGCCCTGAGTTCAAACCCTAGAACCACAAACACACACACAAAATCAGGCAGGGGGCTGGGAATGTAGATCAGTGGTCAAGTGCCTGCTAGTATGGGCAAGGCCCTGGGACAGATCTCCAAAAACAAACAAAAAGGAAGGAAGAAAGAAATAATAAATCAGCCAGTGAACTACCTGGTGTCTACTTAACGTTAATAAATGCAAAAATGCACTAAGAACTCATGCCAGGCTGAGTAGTGGTGGTTCATGCCTATAATCCTAGCAACTCAGGAGGCAGAGATCAGGAGGACAGAGGTTCAAGGGTAGACTGGTAAATAGTTGGACAGACCCTATCTCAAAATACCTAACACAAAAAAGGGGTGGAACGATGACTAAGCAGTAGAACACCTGCCTAGCAAGCATTAGGCCCTGAATTCAAACCCCAGTACCACTAAAAAAAAAAAAAAAAAAAATCATGCTAGGGATGGTAGCATAGGCCTGGAATCCCAGCACTCAGGAGGCTGAAATGGAAGATCTCAAGTTTGAGGCCAGCCTGAGCTATACATAGCAAGACCCTGTCAAAAAAAGAGAAACAAACAAAGAACCTAGAAAGTACAGCTCAGTAGTAGAGGGCTTGGCTAGCATGTAGGAGGCCCTGGGTTAGATTCCCAGCACCACTTTAAAAAAACAAAACAAACAACAACACCCCCCCCTCAACTTGGTTAAGTACTAGACAGTAAGCTAGGGATTCTCCCTACACCACCTCATTGAATGCTCACCACCACCCTGTGAGAGGGAACTTGATTTCCTCAGATCATATCTAGAAAACAACTGCCTCTAATGGCTGAAGAACTCAAGAACTTGGACTTTAGAATTCTAGTTTGGGTCTAGGTCACCTAGACCCTGGCCCTGGGCCTCTGCCTCTTCAGTTAGTCTCACATCTGTAAAAGGAAAACCATAAATTCCTCTTTCCCCATTTCCATCTCTTAAAAGTACCTAGGGAATAAATGAACTACGTCACCAAAGCTGAACGTCTTGGATAAAGAGTGAGAAAACAGCCTCCCCTCCAATGCACAAAACCATCTAGCGAAAGGAGAACAACTCGGTATAGGGCTCCCTCCACTTTTTCCTCAAGAGCAACAAGAGAGGGTGGGAAGCAGGGCATAGTGGGGCACATCTGAAACCCCAGCACTTGGGAGACTGAGACAGAAGGACAATGAGCTCTAGGCCAGCCTGCACTACATGGTTGAGACTCTGTCTCAAAAAGAAAAAAAAAAATTTTTTTTTTCAAAAGGGGGGGTGGGAGGGGAGCAGCACGTGACCAAATTAATGAGCTCACCAAGTGCAGACCATGGTTGCACACCACTGAAAGGAGAGCCTGGCTTTGCTTCATCTGACACCTGGCAGCGGGTAGGGGCTCACACAGTGGCATACAAGACGCTGTGGGATCTGGGCTTTGGGGTGCAGCAGAGGAAATTGCAAAAAATTGTGATCGTATAGTTGCGTCTGAGGACTCTTAAATCGATTCTAGAAGTAGACGTTGGAGGGGGCGGGGAGGGGGCAGCTCTCCCCAAATTGCAACATCGTTGCGCTCACAGCAAAGTCCTGGTAGCTCCATCCGCCAGGGCGCTGCACCGGGTCAGCTCCAGGGCCCCGGCCCGGCCCGCAGAGGAGCGCGAGCGCAGGGGAGACAACGGTCTGTATTTGGGCTGGGGATGGGGACTCCCAGAGGTCCATAAATAAAAATACTCAGGGCACCAGCGCTGGGAGCCCTCTGGCCCAGGACCCAGCCACGACAAACCTGGGGCAGGGATTCTTTGTTGGCCAGAACCTTAAATTCTGACCCACAAGGGGTCAAATCATAGAGTAAGAGTCTGAGGACGTGAGGGAAGGAAACAATCAAAAGCTGGAGCCTAGAGCCAGGCCCTTGACTTCCCCCCCCAAGTCCCCCTACTCGGCCCCAAGAAGGGATATACCCTAAGGCCATTTTTTGGGTGCATGCCCCAAACGGTGCTTGTCTTCAGCGAGAATCCAGAGGACATAGAAAGCCGAGCCCCACGCCCCATTGCTCCCCACTTTCGGGCCACGGGCCTTCTCGTACTTACCGGGCCCCAGGGCCTGTCTTCCTCGCCCGCGTCCTCTCCCCTCCCAGCCCCCTCCTCACATCACGTCCCCTCCTCCAGGGGCCGCAGCCATGTCGGTTACTGGCAATTCTAAGTGGGTTTGTCTCCTTTCCCTAACGACAGAGCTCTGGCCAACAAACTAAAGCTTCGGGCACTGATTGGTCAGAATCTGAGACGGGAGAGAATCCTGATTTTTTATTGGCTGTGCTGCGCGCTAGACTGTAGCTTCATCCTCCCCTCTGGGAACCTGGCGGAAATATGTGATAACACTTAAATTGTACCTGCCGAAGAGTAGGTCCTTCCCTGGGTGTAACGCTCGAGGATTTTCTGCTCCAGAGGCCCTGATCAGAAGCCACGGTCTGCCTACAGCTTTTGCCCCGATTCGTTTTCCTACTAAGTTCCCCTGAAGAGCTGGGCAGGCGATACCCTCACCCTTCCTTTCTTTTTAGTAAGTCCTTTGCAGAGCGCCCCATCTCTCCTACTTTTTCCTAAGCTCCCTCTCTTTGTTGCAAGTAACAAATGTCCAGAAACGCCTTGCTTTTGGAGGGAGTCCTTCAGGACTAATATTTCGTCCAAAGCGAAGCTGGAGAATCTAAGGCAATACTGCGATTTTGCTCTCAGCTCAACTGAAATCTAAAGGGAAAAACAAGTTAATTTTTTTTTCCCCTAGACAATTAGAGAAATCGCCTGGGAGACCTCTCTTGGGAAAACAAAACAAGCATGTGTCAGTATTTACTTCTGTTTTCCCAGAAAGCTAAGTCTGAAAGACTTGTTTAAAAAAAAAATCTATTTATAAAATTGGAAAAGGGTTATGGTTGACCCTGGGAAGTACAAGCCCCTTGCCCTTATTAATGAATTTAATCATGTAATTAAAATTCCTCTTAGCTGAACAAGAAGCCATTTTACTACCTAAACACTAAAATAAGCCATCTTACTGTTTTAACTGTGCTTAAACCAGTTCAGCTAGTGCCTAAAAGACCCATAGGATCATCGTGTCACTTTCCTGCACACAAAGTTCTGCGGTTTATCTTTGCGAATAGACAGGTCTAGATCTCTCCATCTGAACAGCAAAGCCCTTCATAAATAGATTCAGACATACCTTTTCAGGCCTAATTCCCCACTCCAAACCACTCCTGCAAGCTACATAGATTTATCATTACAGTCTTTTAAACATGTAAGAGAACGCCCCACCTTGGCACCTTTGCCCAAAGGTTCCCTGAGCTTTTAACGTTCTTCCTAGTAATAAAGTCAAATTTATGCCTATCCTAAAGGTCTGCATCAAACACTCATTGAATCTCTATAGTGCTGTGCCTTTTCCTTTGTGTCTCCATTGTTGCCTTTACAAAAGTATGCCTTGTACAGCATTGCTGTTTGTGGGAAGACCTCAAGCTTCCTGAGACAGCTGGCTTATCCTGGCAGATTGCACAGCATCTTAACTTGGTGATTTGTGTCCATTAAATGTTTATTGACCTGAACTAGTCGATTGCCAATGTCTTAGGTTTTTCCACTTCCTCCCGTAAGAGCTACCTGGTACCTTTGTACCATTAACAAATGTTGGGCAGTGCCCCTCTCCTCATTGTACCAAGGCCCATTGGACCACCTTTACATCTCTGCCCCATCAGGCTTTATGAATGTCATTCAATGACTTTGAACTGAATGCCTGCCAGTTTCAGGGGGTGTGCAACATTCCTTCCTCCTTCCCACCCCTGACTGTCCTGTCTACCAATCCCCTCAGCCATGAAACCTTGCAGAAGGAGTAAATTGAATTGCTCAAACCAAAACATGCTAATGCACCCTGACTAGCCTTTTTGAGGTCCTGAGGGCCCTTTAGCCATGTCTTATTGGTTGTCTAGCAACTCCAAGCCACTGTGCAATCCTTCATTTTTCTGAAGCCTCCCCAATCTCTTCCTTCCAAGATGACCCTGATGAGAGGACCAATGCCTTCCAGGGGAGATTTCTCATCTAGTTCATCTGCAAAGAAGAATCGCCTCCTCCTTTGCCCATCTGTGTTCTCAGTCCCTCCCCTTCCAGCCACAAAAGCTAAATTCTCATGTTGAAGCCTTAGCTGGTGCTGTTCCCTGTGCCCAAAATGCCCGTCTGGCCTCCTTGCTTCCTGGCTGGCTCCTTGTCTTCCTTTAAAATCAGCTGGGCTTGTCCCTGCTCTTTTCTCATAATTCCTTGTGCAAAACTGTATCCCCTCACTTAGCACATTGTTTATATCTCTGAGAGAAAAATATTAATAATGCATGAATTTGCAGTCTCTTCCCCTCCTCTGTGTGCTAAGAAGGATACTGTGAGGCTCCCACAGTATTCCACAATGTCAGAATAGTAGGAGACAGGACTGAGAACAGCTAAGCCTTGTGTGTTTTGACTTACCTCAGATAAGATGGGCAGTTAACCAGCAAATGAGAAAGAATGTATTTTAAAAGAGCAAAGAGAGAAAAGTGACAAAGAGCCAGGATGGTCTGGAGGGGGAGGAGTTGGAGATATTTGGAAGGAGGGAAAAGAAAGGCTTTAGGATGAGAGAGAGAACTTCTTTGGCTGATTTTGTGAAATAATTTTCCCCTTTACTCTGCTGCTGTAGAACAATTTAAGAACCTAAGAGGTGCCAGGTGCCTGTGACTCACGCCTGCCTCTCAGGAGGCAGAAATCAGGAGGATTGCAGTTTGAAGCAGCCAGGGCAAATAGTTCGCAAAACCCTATCTCAAAAATATCCAACACAAAAAAAGGGCTGCCAGAGTGGATCAAGTGATAGAGCGTCTGCCTAGCAAGTGTAAGGCCCTAAGTTCAAACCCCAGTACCACAAAAAAAAAAAAAAAAAAAAAAAACCCTAATAGGTAATGATAGACTCCACTTTGCAGACAGGAGGCAAAAAGAGAAATGAAGTATGGAATTTTGAGGTTTCTTATAAATAACTCACATATCTTTCTCAAGAGACTACAATGAGACTTGAAGTTGCTTTGTGATTATTTTTGGATGCCAACTTAGGGGGTTTTTAAAATGTGGTTCTGTGTAGAGAACAGTACTCAGTTATCCTCACTCTAGCATCTTTAGTTTCTTCCTGTCCATTGGGTCGTTCAAGCTAAATATATAATCATTTACAGTTCTCTCTCCTTAAACAAAAGAGGTAGGTGGGGGTTTGAAGGGCAAAGAGGGGAAGACAAGAAAGAAAGGAAGAAGAGAAGACTTTCAACATGGACGATCTGGTTCTGATGGTGCTCCTTTGCCATGTGCCTGGTGATCAGCCAGCAGGAAGGTCCCCTTTGGTGAGGTGAATGTGTCAGACTGGCTGGTGTAGTAGCACCAGTGACTTTCCCTCAACTGCTACACAAAGAATTGCTGTTTCCTTCATTGTGTGATCCTGTGGGATATTCGAGAGATGAAGCTGAAAATGCACCTCACATGACTTTAAGATACATGTCTCAAACATTGTTAAATCAGCTTGGAATAAACCCCTTCAAAAGTGACCCATGAGAGTTGGAGGTGTTTCTCAGGGGTACAGCACATGTTGCATGCCCAAGGCCCTGAGTTCCATATCTAGTACTGCAACATTAATAAATAAATTAAAAATAAAAATAAATAAAACCTGACGAACAGCATGATGATTTGTTGACCCACCTGCCAATCAGTCAGCACATATTTACTGAGTTCCTTGTAAGTACCAGCCTCGGGCTGAACACAGAGCAGTTGATGATAAGCAAAACTTAAAGCTTCCCTGCCCTCCAGTCACTAATATTCTAGTGGAAGAGACAGCTCCTTAAACAACTAAATGATTTTATTGTCACATGTTTACAAAGGGCTGCACACAGCAACTCGCATAGCATTCTGGGCTGCACTCCTCTTGGGCAGCTGTTGCTTTCCTGCAGCAGTGATGGATAGGCTGGAATCTAAAGGATGACTACAAGTTAGCCAGGGAAAGGGGAAGAGGAAAAACATTCCAGACAGATGGGACAAACTTAACAAAGGTTGCAAGGGAGGAAAATACAGGCTTGAAGAACTAAAGGATATCCCCACATGACCTGAGCAGCCAAAGGGAAGATCCAAGGCCAGAGAAGTCAGGGCAGCCATGCAGGGCCTCCAGTACTATATCAAGGATTTTGAACTTTATTCTGAGGACGATGAAAAACAGTGGGAAGATTTTAAGTGAAAGAGGGCCATGCTCTGATTGGCATTTATAAAAACACTCCTTTTGGCTGCTGAGTAGAACTACAGAGAAGCAAGCAAAATTTTGAGAAATCTCAGGTGTGGCTGTGCACTAGGCTGAGTAACCTGAGCCTGTGCTAAAGGTGGCAGCAGCCTGGGTGGTGAGAAGTAGATGTGTCCAAGAGCTATTGAGCTTGTAGAACAGTAAAATCTAAGTGGTTGAATGGATATAAGGTTTAGGGAGAAAGAAGGAAGGATAACTTTTGTACCCTGGATCTCATATCACCTCAGTAATAATGACAGAAACCTCCTCTCTCCTGCTCCAAGGTACCTGGAAAAGGCTAACTTAGAACAAAGTACTGGACAAGTCTGGTTCTGGGACACATGCCTGTAGTCCAGCACTTGGGAGGTTGAGGCAGGAGGGTTGCTTGAGCCCAGGAGTTTGAAGCCAGCCTGGGTAACACAGTGAGACCCCTCCCCACCACCAAAAAAACAAGTACTGGAGATGCGTCATCCAAAGAACATTCTTATAAGACCACACTTAGTAGATGGAGATATGAAGTGAGTCAGGAAACAGGAGTGATTCAGGCCTGATTCAGATTTTTGAGCAAGGAGGGACATGCTGAGCCACCTACAAGCTCAAACAAGCTCCTCCTACCTCCCACTGCAGCATCCTTTGTCATTGCACCATCTTTTCCATCTCTTCATTTGTTTAAAGGTGATAGGAAGAAATGGTGATGGTTTAAGATCTCTGGGCTGAAGTTCTCTTAAGTTGACCGAGCTTAACAATAATCAGAATTAGAGTCCCTTGCCAGAAATAACAGTATCCACATGCTGCAAGTGGCTGATACAGTATCTGTTGTCACCCAAAGCTTCTGACACTTCTAGGCTCTTTGGAAGGCTGAACCAAGTGATCAAAGGACACCAGTAGACAGTTGACACAAGAGGAAAGCAAATATAAGGATTGGGGGGAAGGGAGATTCAATTTTACCAATAAGCAAAGAGCACAGAGTTGCAATTTCCCACCTATTCAGTTAGATAAAATAATAAAGTTTAAAAGGCTGAGGCCTTGGTGAAACTGGCCTATCTATATATTACTTATTGATTGCAGGGAGCACTG